CTCCTGCTTACTAACGTAACAATCTACATTAATTCTTATGCTATTCACTTTCCAACTTTTTTTTTTTTTAATTTTTTTTTCAACGTTTATTTATTTTTGGGACAGAGAGAGACAGAGCATGAACGGGGGAGGGGCAGAGAGAGGGAGACACAGAATCGGAAACAGGCTCCAGGCTCTGAGCCGTCAGCCCAGAGCCCGACACGGGGCTCGAACTCACAGACCGCGAGATCGTGACCCGGCTGAAGTTGGACGCTTAACCAACTGCGCCACCCAGGCGCCCCTACTTTCCAACTTTTAAAAATGCCTCCGATACTTCATGATTCTGTGATACAATCTTCTTACAGGGTTTATTGGGAATAGGTTTCAGGTTGGGGGATTTACTATCATCTGCATTTTAATAGCTGCAGAAAAACTAGCTAATACCACTTTTAACAGTTTCTCGTGGGCTTCCTAGTTGTTGGTGCATTTGTTTCTTAGCATTAAAAAAATCCTCTCTCTTTCTACTTTGCTTCTTTGGGATTATCCCTAGCTCGGACATTTTCCTACAATTCATATAAAAATATGTTTTCATTAGCAAAGGCCTTGGTGATAACCCCTTTGTGATGTGTGATATGAAGGAGATTAATAGAAAACTAAATATTTACCGAGAATGATGAAGATATAAGGGGGAAATTACTTTCAGTCACAGAAATACAAATGATTCAGGGAAAGAGAAAGATGAGATAAAAGAGAAAAGTAGAAAAATGAGCCCTAGGAAAGGAAGAAGAGGAAGGGGAAAATGGAAACGCAAGACTGAATTTCTAGTCTACCTTCTCACTCACCTCTCAACGACAGAGGTCCCCAAAACGCTGATTTTCGTTCTCAGGAATGCCAGAATGACACATCGCAAGCTGCTTAGTCATCCACACAGGCTGCAGTAATATCGGAGACATCTATCCCCCTTCATCATTCCCTATAAAATCAAAGTCTCTCTGGATTACCTGTGCTCTATTCTGACTGTCAAATCCCAGCCACATTCTGGGGCTCAAGACAACCCCGGCTACTTTAGGACTCTTTGGACTTCTCGGAGATAATGATTCTCAATCGGACTGGCCTGGTACAACAGTGAACTTTTCAAAATTACCCGTCTGAGTACTCTGGTCACGCTCCAGTTTGAAACACACGAACTCTGGGGCTAAATTATGGAATGGAGTCCAAAGCGATCACGGAATCCCAAGGTTCAAACGAATAGGCCTGCCCTAACATTTACAGGACTGGGGCAAGGGCACCATACACTAAATATTTAAATGATATAAATCAAGATAACAGCTAAATAAAATATACCCTATCCTCTGCCTTAACAAATATACCTTCATAAAGACCCAGAAGGCAGATTCAAATATGGAATTCTTGGGGCGCCTGGATGGCGCAGTCGGTTAAGCGTCCGACTTCAGCCAGGTCACGATCTCGCGGTCCGTGAGTTCGAGCCCCGCGTCGGGCTCTGGGCTGATGGCTCAGAGCCTGGAGCCTGTTTCCGATTCTGTGTCTCCCTCTTTCTCTGCCCCTCCCCCGTTCATGCTCTGTCTCTCTCTGTCCCAAAAATAAATAAACGTTGAAAAAAAAATTAAAAAAAAACAAATATGGAATTCTTGGGCTTCTTGAGTTCTATGTAGGAAGGCAGCAAAAGAATGAGAGCCAGTCCTCTGTCCCTGGTCCTTCCTTCCTTCCCCAGCCCCAGGCTGCAAGGTGCACTGAGGGGGCCTATGGTCAAATTCAGATACATACCCACGGTGGCACAGTCCATCTTTAGTGTGTCCAAGCCCTGGAAACAGGTCTAGTGCGCCAAGAAATTCCAAGGTCTTACATATTTAATGACAGTTCTGAACAGTGGTTCTCAGCTGGGGGCAATTTTGCCCCTCAGGGAACAGTTGGCAATTTGTAGTGGTATTCGGCTTGTCACAGCTTGCGGAGGGGGGTGTTAGAGCATCTAGTGGGTAGAGGCTGGGGATGCTACTAAACATCCTACAAGGTACAGAACAACAACAACAAGTGTTATCTGACCCAATATTAATAGTGCCAAGACTGAGATATCCTGCTGTAGAAGGACACAATACTGCTCAAGATCACATACAGGCACGCCTTGGAGATATTGGGGGCTTGGTTCCAGACCCCTGCAATAACGTGAATATTGCAATAAAGGAAGTCAGATTAATTTATAGTTTTGTTTACACTATATGAAAGTCCAGTAAGTGTGCAACAGCATCAAGTCTAAAAAAATGTACACACCTTAATTTAAAAATACCTTATTGCTAAAAAATGCTAACCATCATCTGGGCTTTTAGCCAGTCGTAATCACTGATCACAGATCATAACGTAATGATAATAACAAAGCTTGATATACTGCAAGAATTAACCAAAAATGTGACACAGAGAGTGAACAAAGTGAGCAAAGGCTGTTGGAAAAATGGTGCCAACAGACGCGCTTGATCAGGGTTGCCACAAACCTTCAATCCGTCAAAAAATGCGACATCTGCCAAGCATGATAAAGTGAAGTGCAACAAAATGAGGTATGCCTGTATTTAAATTCCTTAACCCTGTTCTAGAAGGAGGGGTAAGGTTCACCCTTCTGGCTCCACAGACTCTTTCCCCCTCAGGAGAGCTGGCTTGAGGAGGGGCAGACAGGGTCTTCTAAAGTATGGGGCCCAGGGCCAGGAACTCCCTTGCCCAGGAGGGAGGGCAGTGCTGGGAATGATCCTCCGGGGTCCTCTAAACTGGCAGGACAACAAAGGCCTTCCACTGACCAAAACAGGGGGATGCCCAGGCTTCATCTGAATAGCTCAAGAGAGAACCAAGCCCCTGTCCCAGGCCGTTCTTTGCATCCATGGGCTGGCTGGTTCGGGGGCTGGATCCTTGCCAAGTACTCCTGATGAACTGAAACCTGAGTCTCTAACTTCCTGGAACCCAAAGAAACTTAGACCTTGAGCAAAGGCCCTTTGGCTGGCATGCACACATTTATCCAACTCTCTATTGGCATATGCCTGGAGAATACTAGTAAGTATAAGCAGCAAAATTACAAATATGTGCACTTTCGAGAGGACGATAAAAAATGTGGATTGTGCATCTCTGGTAGAGGAAGCCTCGGAGTCTGAGGATCTAAATAAATAAATAAAGTTTAACACAGATGTGGCTGAAGCACTCCCTGCCCTGGTGTCACTGTGGCCTTGGATTAGGTCTCAGTATTTTGTCATCCTCACCACTGAATCCTGCCGACTGAGGGAAATACGGATCTCATGGTGAAGAGTTCTCAGGAAATGGGGAGGATTTAAAAATCCCACAAAGCAAACAGAACACAAATCCCCAGCAAGCAGAGCTCTTTTTCCTGTATGTCTGTCCCTTCTTGGCCCCTATCGGGGTCTCCTTGTCTCCACTTTTCTTTTCAGGACACTTTCCCCATCTCCTCTTTGGAGTCAAGTAGGGTCCAGCCCTTTGCCTCAATTTTCCTGCTTTCGTGGGCAAGAACTCCCGCAAGCCACAGGTCCTCAAAGCGAGGTCCCAGGCCAGCAGCACCGGTGCTACCTGGGAACAAGTCAGGAATGAAAGTTCCAGAACCACAGCAACCTGCAGTTTAACGAGCCCTTTAGGTGACTCTAATGCACACTTCCACTTTAAGGTAACTTCATCCCACCTCCAAAAACAGTTTAATCAACTTTGTAGGTGTTCAGTCAGGCATGCCCTGTCGGGGTGGAAGATGAAGATGCCTACTCTCCTCCATGCCCCCAGCGTGGTTTATTTTAAAATATCAACTTTGTTTTTTTTTAAGTTTATTATTCTTTTTTTGAGAGAGAGAGAGAGCAGGGGAAGGGGCAGAGAGAGAGGAGAGAGAGAATCCCAAGCAGGCTCTGCCCTCCCCAGGTGGGGCTTGAACCCAGGAACCATAAGATCATGACCTTAGCCAAAACCAAGAGTCCCATGCTCAACAGACTGAGCCAGTCAGGCGCCGCCCCCTTCCCATGGCCTATCAAACTAGCCTCCCTGCAAAAGTGTGTGCGGAGGAAGGTGGATAGGATTCTCAAAGCCGTATCGTTGCAAACAAATTAACATTCACTGTAAAAAAAAAAAAAAAATTCTACGAGAACCTAGCAGAAGTTAAATTTGCACCCCAAAGGTGTCAGAGTCTCCTGTCCATCTTTCTAGACATTTCGGAGCACACAGTGAATATGTTTATCCTTTAATAACATACACACACAAGTAGTTTGTGTTTTTGCTCATTTCATAACAAATTTGGAAATATCTTTCTGGAAGACTAAGCAATATTCCGGCGTTTGGAGGTATAAATTGTGTGCTCATTCTGCCCTCCTCCCCGACCGCTGGGGCAGGAGGGCCGCAGGAAACACGAGAGACGTGCAGAAGTCAGTCAGCTGACGTTTTGGGATTCTCACCGGTTGTGGCCTTCTCCGTCTAACAGGAAAACTGTGAAGAGAACACAGAGTTCCTCTAGCCAGATTACCAACGCTGTGTGCTGAGGGCTAAAACAACCGCAGGGAAGAAAAGGCAAGGGCAGAGATTCAGATGCGCCGACCTTACACACCCTCAGAAACCCAAGAAACAAGACACACATGAAAACCACAAAAAGCAACCAGCTTGACGCATCCCAATTTCCAAGCAACAGAGGAGACAAGGTCATTATAACCGATGACATTTCCAGACAAAGTGACTTAAGAAATTAAAGGCGTGCCACGTATACCTCATTTCCCCAGGTTCGCGTACTGCAATCCACAGGCTGGAAGGGAATGGCTGATTTTTTCCACAGTTCCATGTTTCTGGGCGTTTTCGAGCCGCGGGGCGGAGGGAGCCGGCGGCGCGGGACGCAAGGTTCCCCACGCCGCCCCTTAGTCCCGCCCCCGGTCGTTCCAGGCCACTCGCGTGCCAAAGCCCTGTAGGGCGCGGGCTGAGCGCGGGGGACGATTGGTTCCGGGCCAGGGTGGGCGGAGCCAGAGTTTCGGCCTTTAAGAGCGCGCGGCGCGGCCACCCCGGTTTGCGTCGGCGTCTTCTGCGGCGTCCTCCGGTGTCCTCGCAGCCCTCGAAGCTCGGACCGGACCCCGAGAGTCATGGAGATGAAGGCCGTGTGCGTGCTGAAGGGCCAGGGCCCGGTCGAGGGCACCATCCACTTCGTACAGAAGGCAAGGGCTGGGGCGGAGGCCGGCGGGAAGGCCGCGCGCGCTCACCTGTGCCCCGGAGCGCCGGCCAGCCGGGCCTCGAGCCGCCTTCGTCACGCCCCCGCCGCGCGGAGTCTGCGGGTTCGCGCCGCCCGAGGCCTCTGCCCCGCGGCGGTGCGGCGGCCGAGTGCTGAGTCACCGGGCGGGCCGGGCAGGGGCGGCGGTGCGTGGCTAGGCCTGGGCAGGGGTGCAGGGAAGGAGCCTCGGGCGGCCCCGGGGGTGCTTGGAGAGCGCGGACGGAGGCCGGCTGCCCCGAGGGCCTGGGCCGGCGCCGCCGCGTCGGTAGGCCGGGGCGGAGACGTGACGTTTTTGCAGAGGCTGTGGCCCTTCCTTGCGGGGTCGTTTTCTGGGTCCTGAAGCTCGTGCAGATTCGGAGTTGCGCAGTCCGGGGCCTGGCCGCCCTTGAGGTTCGGGAATGGGGCGGCGGGGGCGGGTGGGGAGGGGTTGGTGGTGGCGAGTGCGGCCGAGCCACCTGGGTATAGTCGCATCCGTTACCCCGCTTTGGGGTTTCCTTTCCGCTCAAGAGGTCTGCAGCTTGCAGCCTGTGGGCACAGCCCGTCCCCATGCGGGTGTTCGTACAGCCCCGGAGCTAAGAGTGGTTTGTATATGGTTAGTTCAGAGGGTCCTAAAAAACAAGAGTCATGCGACTGTACAAAGAAATAAAACCATTGAATCCCTGAAATACTGATTAGTCAAAGTTTATTGTGCACACACCAAAAGATGGTCGTGAACCGGGAGCACTCAGACCAATTCATGGAACGCGGCTGAGGGGTATATATTGTCATAAAGCATCTTATGTAGTGAGAAGGCAGTGACTTTATGTTTCGCAGTGATGGGTTATGATTTTAGTTTTCTTAGATGCTAAGAAATTGGTTAGTGGCTACCACATACTGACCTTGGGAAACAGCTTGACTTTTGCTTACCATTTCCACAAGGCATAAATAAGAAATGACCCATGTCAAGTTAGTCTTGCCAAATAAGCCAATTAAGCTTTTGCCTGTATGACTAACTTGGTTTTGTCTGATCAGGGAATTATCAAGGCTGGTCTCCGTTTGTTTTTGATTTTAAGGGGACAGAAACCTTGGCCCCTTGCTGAAAAGTTTGCTGACCCTTGCTCTGGGTCATGGTCTGGCTGTAAAGTCAAAGAAGATGGCCCTGGGCAAAGCTCCTTTTCCTCCTCCAAAGCTCCAGAAGCCAGAGATCTAACCTACTCCCTTGGGTGTTTTCCAGACCTGCGCTGTTTTACCCTGGGTGCACAGTAGACTCATTTGGGGAGCTTTTAAAAAATGTGATACTGATACTAATTCCAGATCAATTATATCAAAATCTGTCAGGGCGCAATATGAGCATTGCTGGTTGGCTTTTTTTTTTTTTTTTTTTTAAATTTTTTTTTTCAGAGGGAGAGACCCGGGGGGGGGGGGGGGGGCAGAGAGAGAGAAAGAGAATCCCAAGCAGGCCTGGCACTGACATCGCAGCGAGCTTGATGCAGGGCTCTATCTGACGAATTGTGAGATCATGGCCTGAGCTGAGATCGAGAGTCCGAAGCTTAACCCACTAAGACACCCCGGTGCCCCTGAGCATTGCTGGGTTTAGTTTCTACACTAGTACTAATTTGCATCAAGCTTTGAGAACTTTTAGAGGGTAGCGGATGGGATTTTGAGTTGGAAGTCAGGAGACCTGGAGTGTCACTCAACTTGCTTGTCTGGACATTGATTTAACCAAATTTTCCGTAAAGTGGTTTTGAAATTGCTCTACCAACAAGCCCCCTACTGAGATGGTCAAAGAATAAAGTATACAGAAATACTCATTAATTGTATTATGAAACACATGTTTTACAAGGAAGGTGTTTGTCTCCCAAATCTTAGCAAGGTTACGAACTGATGGAAAATTGTCGTACTTGGCTTGATAATCGTGATATTCAATATATGAATGAGGTTTAATCTTTAAAGGGGCTTACAGAAATGTGAGAGGACAGGAAAAGTAATCTTTGTAAGTGTCCCTGTTTATGAAATTTATGCAAGGGAGTTTAATTTTATCCTTTGAGTGGTTTGCAAATTTTCTGGAAGAGGCTTTTTGGCAGTTGACTAAATTTTGCTGCTTTCATTTGCCAGACTTTGTTTTGCTCCTCTTCCCTCCTTGTGTAATTTTGCCAAAATACTAGAGAATCTAGGCAGCTTCTGAGGGATCCCTTCCCTCTGGCTATGGAGAAATGGCTTCTGCTTTACATTCAGAAGCCGAGCTGTGAATCCATACGTAACTCAGTCTACCCATCTTCCCTGAGCTGCATGTATGACTCTCCTTTTTCAAGTTCCAAACTTCATTTTGGTGGTGCTGTTTGTACCTGATAAAAGATCCTTGTGTAGTTCAGCATTACAGCTCTACGGATATGCAGGTGTGTTAAATTGGAAATAAACCATATTTGTTTGGTTTAGAGAGCGTTTAAAATTTTGGATTAGTGGGGCATCTGGGTGGCTCATTCAGTTAAGCATGGTTTGTGAGTTCGAGCCCCTCATTTGGCTCTTTGCTGACAGCACGGAGCCTGCTTGGGATTCTGTTTCCCTCTTTGTCTGCCCCTCCCTTGCTTGCTGTCTCTCTGTCAAATTAAATAAAAATAAACTTAAAATATTTTTGGATTAGTTTCCAGTTTTTAAAAATCTGAAATTTTCACCTAGAAGTCCAGATTCCTGGCTTCTTTTTGAAAAATTTGGAGATCTTTTGAAAAATTTGAGCCTTCATTACCTCAGGACAGCACTCTGCGGGACCAGTTGGTTTATATTCCTTTCACTTCCCTGACCTGTTTTTACTCATTTAAGACAACAGTGCGGCCCCTGTAGGGCTGTAACTAGGCAGCTTACTGCTGAGCTACTCCCGTGTGCTCTGCCTTTACCCAGGACCCGTGTACAGATGCTGGGAAGACCCTGCCCTTTGTCTCTGTGCTCTTGGTAACGCCGTGTATTCGGGGGGGGGGGGGGTGTGTAACACTATCGTTTTGGTTTTTACAGAATTAAAGCTTATGCTTAGAAAAATTCTAGTGTATCCTCAAAAAGCAGAGCAAAGAAGGGCAGCAGTTGCCACACTACTTTCTTTGAGCGGTGCTTTGTATCCAATGGGAAGTCAGATGTTCAAGGCCAACACCTCTTATAACTGTTGGCCCTGACTATTAAAAAACAAACCAAGCTAAAAACAAAGACGCCATCATGTGTACTTCTGTGTGTGTTTTATTTTAGTTCCTAAGATCTCTTTGTAGCTATACTAGTTAACTTTCTTTCTTTCTGTATGTAGCTGTATAGTACTGTTACCTATTGTTGCCTGCGTGGTGACCCCTATGTGTTTTTCTACCTTTGTGTTTTCATTGCCCTTTCTCTGTGCTGTCAGAGTGGAAAGGTTATCTGGGTTTGAATGCCTAAAATGACTTTAGAAGACAGTACCTTTGGTTAGAGCAAAATCAGTCCCCCGGAGACAGTGGGACAGGATATTTTCTGGCTATTAATAAAAAAATATCTCTGGTGGAAACTGATAAATACCCACCTAGGGGGAGAGTGGAGAACCAGGGATCCTAGGTTAGTTGTATATGATTAGTGTCATTTCGTTTTGTTTTTTTTTTTCTTTCTTTCCTTTTTTTTTTTTTTGGAGGCAAATTTGTATGTTTGCTTTATGGAAGAGGGTCTGCATGAATAAAAAAAGGTGCTATGATGTGTTGACATTTGGGTTAAAAAGTTTGATATATACACCTATTCAGCATGTGCAGATATAGTATATTCAAAAGTATTTACAAAATAAATAACTTATTCATGTTACATATTCACTGAAAGGGAGTCAATCCCTACAAAGTCTATAATCTACCATTTAAGTGCTCACTCTACTTGCCACTCTGATTAGGTGCTTTTTCTGGGCTATTTATTTTAATGTTTGTTTATTTTTGAGAGAGAACAAGCAGGGGAGGGACAGAGAGAGAAGAGAGGGGGACAGAGGATCCGAAGCAGGGTCCTAGCTGACAGCAGCGAGCATGATGTGGGGCTTGAACCCAAGAACCATAAGATCATGACCTGAGCGGAAGTCACATACTCATCCTCAACCCACTGAGCCACCCAGGCGCCACTGGGGTCTTTTATTTAATTGTGATGCTGGCTTCAGGGCTCCTGGGCTGTCTTAGAACAAGGTCACATCTCCCTAGTGTTGGGTCCCTGGCCTGGAACAGTTAAATAGCTCGCTAGAAAGGGGTGGGCCTGGGATTTGGACACAGATCTTTCAACTCCCGTGTTCTTTTCCTGTGACTGGTAAAGATAATTCACCTGTTTTCTTTGTTTAGCAGCACTTGCTCTCTCAAACTTCTTGCACTTTTCTTTGACTAAAGGGCAATGGGCCTGTTGTGGTATCAGGAACCATTACAGGATTGACTGAAGGAGAGCATGGATTCCACGTCCATCAGTTTGGAGATAATACACAAGGTGGGTGTTGTGTTGGTCCAGTGACTCCTACCTGTTTCACATAGTAAGATAAATGTACTGAGTAGAGCTACCCCTTAACATGAAAAAAAAAAAGTCAAGATAATATGATTACTAAGGTCGACCTTAGGGAAATGAGCCATAGCACTGGCTTTGGACTCTTTAAGTGTGGAAAGGAAGAGGAAGAAGTTGATGTGGTTTTTGTTTGTTTTTTATGATCATATCTTGATTATAAAAGAGTCTCAAGTATTTTTTTAGAAAACAAAAAAGCTACTTTCTTACTGCCATAGGGATCGCAGGTGTTTGTGAGCTGGGGTTGAGGGTGGGTGCTTCAAGCACAGGGTCTGCATTTATTTGCATCATCCTGTAAGAATAGCTCCATGCTGCCGACGCAGGGGTCTTAGTGGGACAGAAGTAAAGTCAAATATGAAAAAAGAATGTAAACTCTTGATGCTTTGGATTGAGTTCCATTAATTAGAAGCAAGTTAACAAAAGTTTATGGGTTAAAATGCATTTAATCCTCTTCTACCGTTTTTGAGTAATCTGAACTGGGTGTTGAGACTTTTTATGGTGAAAACTTGATTCATCTTGCTGGAATTTGTTTTTACTGTTCTGTAATTTAGTTCCTGTAAAAATTGTGATTTAATGACACGCTTTGATCTATTTCAACAATTACTAAAACTCCTCAGGTTGCTCTTTACTTTTTTACTGGCTCTGCTTTGGGAGGTGTGTGCCATGGACTTACTGTGCTGCTTCCTGTTAACCTGTGTGTCTTCTCCCTGGGGGAGCTGGGGAGTAGCTGTAAACAATGGAGACTTTCCGTCACCTGCTGAGGGAAGAAAGCCATGTCACAAAAGCACTTTCTGCATTGTCGTGTTCTGTGAGAAAGGCCTTCCCTGAAGCACAAGAGTGCCATTTTTACAGAATATATTCTGAATGCCAACTCCTGGAGTTCTGTGAGGCAACAGCCTTGGCCCTTAGACAGAAGGTGCCATTTTATATTCTGCGGGTACCAAGTAAAGGCCACAGTAGGGCTCTTTGGTAGTGTGTTGCTGGGGAGGTGAGTTTTTGTAGTTAAGGTATGCTACCTTATAAACTACAGTCATAATCCTGGGGTTTTAACGATAGAAGAACCATGAAGATCAAGTCTTGGCCCTCTTGTTTTACGGGGCAGTGAAGAAATCAAAGCCCAGAGAAGGGTATTACCTTTACCGCTGTCACACTAGTTAGAACTTGTCCCTACTGCTTGCCTATTTTATTTTGTCTTAAGGTGTTGCTTCCTGTTTTTATGAACCTAGAAGTTATGATGTAGGTCAGTATTTTCTCTGTTTGAGGTTTTAGTAATGACCAGTTTGTTTTAAGAATTTATTTTGGAATTCTGATTCATAATTTAGCTACCTTTTTGTTTTTGCTTTTGGCAAATAGGCTGTACCAGTGCAGGCCCTCACTTTAATCCTCTATCCAAAAAACATGGTGGGCCAAAAGATCAAGAGAGGTGAGTGACAAAGTGCTTAACTCTTATCAAAAGTATGGCACTGGCTTGTTGGGTCAGAGCGGGTATAATACTTGCAGATTGCACGCTGACATAACTGAGTAGTCTTCCCCACCTCTGCTCTTGAATTCATTGCCCTCTAGGTAGGCCCTCTATGTAAGTATGCCTCCCACCCCACCCCAAGTAACCCTGTATCCCCAAGTGCTGGAGCGGCTTATTCCCTGAGCTGGTAATTGACAAATGGGGACACTTAAGACGATTTGGTTTTGTAGCATTTATTGAATATAGAACTAATACAAGTGCCAAAGGGAACTAATACAGGAAATGTCATGAATAACAGTACTGTCAACCTCTAGCAACATAAACCATCATTGTGAAACATAGGTAGCCTTGTAGATAAAATTGTTACTGAAAATTCAGTGAGTCCATTTGTATGTGTGTTTCCTGAGAGAGCCTTTCAGGAAAATATTAAATTTAAGGACTGGGAGTAATTTATTTTTAACAGGCCTGGGGCATAGCTTTCTTAGCCATGCCAAGAATTAACAGGCATAACTCAGAATTTACCCTTTGGTACTTTACCTCTGAAATTCTAGATGTGCCCCCATCCCACGATTCTTCCCAGAGTATTACTTTGTAGATTTGAAGCTTTGAAGAGCAATGGGTCTAGAATGTCAAGTTGTTCCTAGTTTGTATGTTCCAAAATTTTGTCATTCTGAAAAAGTGGGTCCTGTTTGATACATATTATATCCACCTCTTTGTCCATCCTTATGTATCTGACTCAGTTTTTAATTCAGCTCACAAACTAGCCTGATGGTAAGGTAAATGGAAATCAGTCCTAATCCCTGACCCTTTTTCAATGTCAGGCATGTTGGAGACCTTGGCAATGTAACTGCTGGCAAGGACGGTGTGGCCAACGTGTCTATGGAAGATTCTCTGATTGCGCTCTCAGGAGACCATTCCATCATTGGCCGCACGATGGTGGTGAGTTTTCATATAATAGGGTATGCATACAGTTTTTTCTAACAGTCCTATATCTTCTCACGATTTCATGATTATTGATCCTGATCCACATACATTGTACTTTTATTTCAGATTAGGAAAAGCAGTTAACCTATTGATGACAGTGACGATGAATTAATGATCTAGGTTGGTTATGAACACTGTTCTAAGATGCAGTAGTAAAGTAGGTTACGTTTGATCATATTAGATCCATATTGTGGAAGCAGAAGTCGTCTTTATCTGGTTTTTAAATGGCCGTATTTTCTTGCCACGATTGATTGTTCCCCCCCCCCCCCCCCCGTAGTTAAACAGAACATTTTGTTAGGTCTAAAATCTGAGACAGGCCTCAGTATTCCTTATTCGCATCTGCAGGTTATGGTCACTTGTCTTACACGTGGAAGGGACTGCCTGGGAGCTGCATCTGGTTCCCACAAACACCAAGTAGTCTAGGCTGTCTGTTGCCTGTATTCCTTTCTTTACAGCTGACCCTTGACTTTTCTTCAGCTGTAGTTGTGAGGCAGAAAAATCATCGATCAGTGTTAGATGAGCCAAATTGAAAATGCTGTTATTTAAATAGTCCTGAGATATTTTTAAGATCATTTAGACTTCTAGTTCATTAGGCACAATTTTGAGTTTTTAAAATTCACTTTCCTTTTCTTTTCTCTCCAAAACAATGTTTATTGTAAGAGAATAAGTGTAATTGAGGCCATGAACATGTCTCACGGAGGGTTAACATTGGCATGTGGTGGCCTAGAAGAGTCGTTGGGGTTTTAGCGATAGCAGCTCAAACCTAGCATGGACAGTTAACTTCGATCTGAATCATCAAGTGAAAGCTTTGAGTAGTAGTTGTTGCTATTTTTTACTACTAGATTAAATATTAGCGTATTTCCCTGCTAGGAATTATTTTAACACGGTGTTTTCTAACATTAAGTGGTTCTTAAAAGTCTTTTGGGTATTGTTGGGAAGAGGTGGTAATTACTTGCTAGCACTAAGTATGTTAATGTTCTTAAAACTTTTTAAAGGTCCACGAGAAACGAGATGACTTGGGCAAAGGTGGAAATGAAGAAAGTACGCAAACGGGAAACGCTGGGAGTCGTTTGGCTTGTGGTGTCATTGGGATCGCCAAGTAAATATTCCCTAGGATGCGATCTGAGTCCTAGTAACTCCTATGTTATCTTGCTAGTTGTAGAAATTTAACTTGATAAACATTAAACACTGTAACTTTAAAAGTGTAATTTGTGTGACTTTTTAATTGCTTTAAGTACCTGTAATGAGAACTGATTTATGATCACTTGGAAGATTTGTATAATTTTATAAAACTCCTATTCAGTTAAAATGTCTGTTTCAATGATCTCTGTATTTTGCCAGGCTTAATAATCATGGGTATTAAACTTCATTGTCTGAATTTCTTCAATTCTCATTCAAGCCCGCAATAAACAAATATACCATATGGCACTGAATTTTGAACCTAGTGAAGTATCCAGATTGAAACTCAAAATTAGCTCTTGATACCCTACATAGAGTTTGAACAGAACAGATTTAGTAGTAGGTTGACAGGTATTACATGTTTCATAGAGGTCACTTTTCAAAGTGTTTTAAATGATGTTTAAATTTTTAGCAGCCAGTCTTTTAGCTAAGACTAACCTCAATTTAAATCTTGGACAAATATCTTTTGTCAGCTTCAGGGAAATTAAGATGGTTTCTCTGATTAGCTCCTCAGCATTTTGACTCAGTAGGATTAAACTACCTACCTGCCACAGTGGCACATATTTCTCTCCATACACACATGAACAGTTACTCCATCTGTGCCAGTCTGCTTTCACATTAGCCATTTAAAGAAATCTACCATAGCATTTTAAGATGGAACCAAGGAAATGTTTAAATGTGGGTTATGCCTAAGGATTTATACATCAAATTAGTAAATTTAAGGCTAGTTCTCTTATCGTAAGTACTTGCTATGTACTTATGAGAAACTGCTTTTAAATGAATGTTAACCTATTTCAGATTTGACTCTGGAGCACAGTCGTTTATTGAGAGTTGCAGAACATTATTTCTAATAGAGAAACCAGAAAGAAGCTACAGTTCTGATTGATCATAAATATATGATATACTTAATCAAATGTAGGATATCGCTTGGGAGGGGAAAAGCAAATTTGGAAAAGGATAATTTGTAGTGCTTTCAAAGTTTTAAAATTGGTGATAAAGAATATGCTCAGAATAAGTGGTTAAAATCAGTCAGGATTTAAAAATATGAACAGATTTCACTAATGTGCAATTTGGAGTACACATGTGGGATAGGACTCAAATATAGGGACCTGCTTGTGACCTTTCAAGTCTCCAGTGTAATCACTACCACTTGGTATTGGGGGGGGTGGGGCTTGTCATGTGCAAATTGGATGATCCCAATACTTACAATTGGAAACACGGGTTTTTTAAATCCCTGAAATCTGACCACTAAATGATCACATGTATGTTTCTTTCCAGAAGCAGTTTCAGTTAGGACTTTTTAAAACCTCTCCGTGGGCCAACATCAAACAAAGGACAAGTTTTATCATTTAAGTGCAGATACGAACCTGGATTTTTTTTCTCATTTTCTAAAGTCGGGAACACAAGAACATTGTCCTAGATACATTCTCCCTGTCAAAACCAAGATCTTGCTGCAGAGTACTATTTAAGAACCAAAGTAATAAAGCAGCTTCGCCTGGGGATGAGGGCAAAGAAAAAGTTACTGCTCAACACACTGAATGAAACGAGGACAGTTTAAAAATGTAATTTAGGGGGAAAAAAAAGCTTCAACAAGGCCATAAATACTTGGATTGTGTGGTCTTTTCCTTGGCACTGAGTAAAGCAGTTTTATGGAACTGCTTTTCTGAACTATTTCAGACACAGGTTTGATTTGGCTTTGGATGACTTCATGTAATAGTTCTTGGATAACCTACATCTATTTTTCCTAGTAAACCCAACAATTTTAAGCAAAAGAGAAAATACTTTATATGTTCTCATATGTGACAAAAAGTTCAGTCTACCTCTGCCCAGCAGGGGAGTTTAAAAAATGGTAAAGAAAGGCAACAGGCAAAGCCTATATTATAGGAAACAATAGGTTGCTTTTAAGTCCTTAAAACATATAAGACAAAAAGCTTTTAGGTTGCAAATTTAACCTGGATTTCTTTCACCCTTTTGAAAAATTTAATGGGATGGTAAGAAAACATTCAACCTTCTAAATAAGTAATACCCAGGCAATCGGATAATTTTATAGTACAAACGGGTACTCTGGGATCCAGTTTCCTCCCCCTAGCAAAATTTCTCTTTACAAATTAATTAGGGCAACATTTACCACAAAGCCAATGGCAAAAAAGAAATCCTTGATTCAAGTGCGAAACTAACAAGCTTTTCCATTAACATTAAAACCATGAACCTTTACACCTTATGATTGAAATGCTAAAAATAAAAAGTATTACAAATGAAGTGTTTGAGAGTAACTACATAAAGATGTCTATTTCCATCAAGTAAACAAGTCTAATTTAGACTCCAATACAGTATTAACAGCTCAAACTTTGATGGTGAACAATCCTTTTCCACCTTAATGCAGTGTAGGAAGAATAGCACACATTAAAGTTTGTTATGAAAATAGAGTTTATTAAAAACATCCCTATTGTTTTGAGGAGCTTTCACCGTTACCTTGTCTTAAATTAAAAAAAAAAAAAAATAGAGAGCACTTCTAATTACGATTTGTAAACTTTTTAAAGTCAAAACTTTTAAAAAGTTACAGCAAAAAGGGTAATATTTATTCATATTTTCAGTATTTTTTGTTATTTTGTGGCTATTTTTAAATAGAAGGGAAGCAATCAAATTGCTTACAATTCCCCACCAACTACTGCGGGGCTGTGATATAGCAGGAGCAAATATAATACAGCATCTGTACACCTCAAGCTCTACACTCCAGAAGCGTCACTGTCACATTTTGACAAATTCCAGTCTCTAACGAGGAGCCTCTGCTGCTGAGCCAGAATCCTTTTCGGGTTCAACGGATGAGGTAGCCTCAGCAGGTAACTCTTCAGAAGATTTTACAACTGCAGACTCAGACTCCCCCTTATCAAGTTCTGAAACAGTGTCTACGTCTCCCACTTGGCTACCGGGAGGTTCAACGGTTTTGTTACCACCTGCCCTGTCTGTCACCTCAGGCTTCTCCTTTCCTCGGTTTTCTTCCTTCTCTCTACGAGACTCTCTATCTCTAGAATCTCTCTCTCTGTCTCGATGCCCACTAGAGCGTCTATTTCTCTCTTCCAAGTCTCTGTGCCTGTCCCGGTCAGGGCTCCTTCTTCCCCACTCTCTCCTTTCACGATTGCTATTATCTCTATCATCATTACGGTTCCCATACCGTTCCCGGTCATTTTCCACCCTATTTCCAAAAGATCTTCTTCCAAACCTCTCTTGGTCTCTACCTGAATTGAACTGCTGCCTGTTATCGTTTCTAAACGGTTGTGGTTGCTGCTGAGCCGGTGGCGGCTGCTGAGCTGGTGGCGGCTGCTGTGGCTGTGGCTGTGGCGGTGGCGGCTGCTGTGGCTGTGGCTGTTGCTGCCTCCCGTCTCTGTCTTCGGGACCCCCTGGGCCTGGCCCCGGGCCCCCAAGCCCTGGCATTCCCCCAGGCCTAACAAAGGGGCCATGCGGTGGAAAGGGGCCTTTCATTCCATGAGGTGGAGGCATTCCAAAGCCCCCGGGGCCTGGCGGTGGACCTCTATGCATCATGTGCGGTGGCATGGGACGAGGTGGCATCAAAGGAAATCGCTGTAAATGAGGTGGAGGCATTCCTGGAGGGCGCTGAAGTGGGATTAGGCCAGGTCGGGCACCAAGGAGACCAGTGGATGGTGCTTGGAGCCCAATTACAGGACCAGGTGCAACTCCTTGAGTACCTAAAAGAGAGTAATAAAAATGTCTATAAAATAACGCAGAAGATGGCATTCTGGTTTCAACTGTTTCCTGTGGAGCCTGAATCAAAATGAAGTTCAACCCCGAATCTTCAAAGTTGTCTGCCAGTCTACCTGCGCAAAACTCAACGTGAGGCCAACAACCCATAGCATGTAGTCTTAAAGATAGATTACATACTATATAAAGATATGTATTAGTGTGTAGATGATGAGGATCTAATAATGGTAGAGGTCAAAGTAAGATGGAAAAGGACACTGCAATATACCAATTTTTGGAAAGAGTATGTCCATCACTAGTGGTTGGTAAAAATACTTAAAACACTCAAAATACTTAAGACATTTGAGAAAGACAATGTACGGGTCCTCATGACACAATGAGCTGAACTATGCTATGTGAGCCAACTGAAGGCCATCTCAGGTGTACTCTTAGTAAATTTTACACTTTGAAGTCTTAACTTACTGGAAAAAAATAGGGTCACTAACCCAGAAAATCCACTGAAGAGGGAGGTCTCCGATTCCATGTCATTAAAATGCCTTATTAAACGGTAAACATCACTTGAACAGTAAAGCTTATAAAATAAAGATCAACACACCAGTGGGGAGTTTATTTTTACAGGTCCTTTTTCAAAGCACACCCTAAGGCATAAACCTGCTAGGCCGAAATGATGGAATTATGCTGAAAAGTCCGGCCATTCACTTTCTATTCATTCCTCCTAAGGTGGCGAGACCAATGAAGTCGGTGCTGTTGAAGGTGACAAGGACTTCACTGGTTTTATTTCCTGTTTTCATGAGGGTTGGCTCAGGTTTTGGTGTTAAGTCCTACAAATAAAACCACCCATCCTTTAAAACGATATGGCAAAATAGTGCAGATTCGGTTTTGGTTCACCACTTCAGTAACAGAACGACATCATCCCCCTCTCTATTTCTTTGCAAATATCAACACCACAAGGCAAACACTATGACGAATAGGAGTTACTCTAACAATGGAAAATGTTCCAGATATTGTCAGAATATATTATTTACCCATGTACTGCATGCAGAAAGGCCTTTGAGCAAGTTAGGGGCTATGACTCTCAACCACCGATGGTAAGAGAAATGCTTTTGGGACACTGATACCCAATACTTGCCCCCTCCCCCGACAGCAGGTTATTTTATGCTGACAGAACCGCTTCTTCATGTGTGCTTTAGCATACATTAAACAAGTCCTGCTTGCTCCTAAATTTTCAGTATCAGCAATACTAAACCTAAACAAGAGTTTCTACTTCAGTTTCGGATCCTCACAACATGTGGTCCAATCCCATTCTGTCCGA